TTAACGTGTCTAATAAATTATGTAAGAGAGAGCCTTCCTCAGTTCCTCATCCTCAAATTAATGTTAAAACTTAAAATTTCCATATTAGAATCTCACGCTCTTGAAATTTTATATTAGAATCTCAAGCTCTGGTGCCACTCCGTTGGTCAACGACTGCAACTTTCTCTCCGCCCGGAATCAGAAAATGAGATGGTGATTGGAATTTGGAATGAAGGGTTATAGGGTTTAAAATTCAATGAAATAAATAAAATATATAAAGATAAAAATAGGTAGAAACAAAGCCGGAATGCAAACGTCTCCTTCTGGATGCAGATGTTTGTCTTCTTCTGGTGGGTGTCATGAGTCATAACTGAAACCTCTGTGAATCCAGAGGCAGGGGATTTCCATTTTTCCCATTAACTATTCCATTAGTTGGAGTGAAATTCATGTGAGGAAGAAGAATAAAAGGTCAGACCATGAGTTGTTTTCCTCCCACGGGTTTGCCATAATCAGTTTCCTCAAAGTCCGTTCCTTTTACATTGCTTTCTTTGTTATAGAGATGAAGCAGTTAGAAACGCCGGCGACAGTGAAACCAACAGCCATGTCGACGAACGCCTCAATCCCATCTCGGTATAGAGCCAGAACTCCTAAGGAAGCGCCTAAACTGGAAGCAAGACCAAAGACAGTGCCTCTGGATGGTAATAACGGTGGGAAAATTGTAAGGTCTCTAGGGGTATCTAAGCCCAAGTCCGGTGAGCAGCAGGTCGTGGGGAAGGGGAGCAGGGAGGATGTTAGAGTGGTGGAGCAATTTGCACGGCCTAAGCGGTCGTCAACTGCGGGGTCTCGTAGGAAGAGTGATGGGGGTGCAGTGGAGGAGAAGAAAAACAAGGAGTTGAGTGATGCTTTGGTTAAAGATTTGCAGGCTGAGGTTTTATCTCTGAAGGCAGAATTGGATAAGGCACAGAGCTTGAATGTGGAGTTGGAGGCCATGAATAGGGAGCTTGCTCTGAAGCTTGCTGCTGCTGAAGCAAAGTTAGCATCTTTTGAAAGCCGCAAGGTATGAATATCAGTCCATTTTTATCTTTCTGAATGAAATTCTTCAAAAATCCATGTTGCCCATTTTCATTCTTAATTTGGTGGAGGTATTGAATTATATTAGAATTATGAATGCAAATGAATAATTTTGGGTTTGATGCTAGAGAAATTTGTTCATTTTGTGTATTTCAAGAAGGAAATAGTGATATTGGGTTATAGTCTTCTAGACATTCTTACAGTTGCCAATATGTTTCTTGAATGAAGAGGGAGTCAATTGGAGGAGAGTACCAGAGCCCTAAATTCAAGGACATTCAGAGACTCATTGCTTGCAAATTAGAACAGCCTAAACTGAAAAGAGAGGCAATCAAAGTGTCAAGACCTGTTGAAACAATACCTCCAGCCCCAGCGGTCCGTCATCCCATTGTCAAAGCAGCTGATGCAGAAAAGAGTACACCACTGATTTCAACCCTCCCAACACCTCCTCCTCCACCACCTCCACCCCGGCCCCCAGCCAAAGTTGCTATCATTCCAAGGGCTCCTTCAACTGTACAATTATGCCACTCTTCAACAAAGCAAGCGTGCAAAAGTGACCGTCCACCAGCTGGGAATCACAATAAACCCCCAGTCATTAGTGTACACAGTAGCATTGTCGGTGAAATTCAGAACCGTTCAGCTCATCTGCTCGCTGTAATAATTTTGATCTTGAATATTAGACACAGTATGAGTAATTCCTTTATAATGTCCTGACAATTCAATTGTTTTCAACTGTTTGGCTTTCTCTAGATTAAAGCTGATATTGAAACAAAAGGAGAATTCATCAACAGTCTCATCCAAAAAGTTTCAGATGCTGCTTATACAGATATAGAAGATGTCCTGAAGTTTGTGGATTGGCTTGACAATGAACTTCTGTCTTTGGTAAATATGAAAATCTTTCTAGGTTATTTGATTGTCCAATGCTTGCAATTCAAATTACTTGGTCACTCTTTAACTGTCATCCATATACGGATACACAACAATCTTTTCAGAAGATCTTTATCATGTTCTGTTGAATACAAAATGTGTTATATTACAAAATATACATTTAATTTCTTCGAAATAAGATCAGGGTACATTGAAACATTAGTCCTTTTCATTGTGATGAATTAGAAACCAGCACTTGTCTGAGGCAGTTTGTTGGTGCATTAATGAATTTTATTTTGTTTTCATATCTTCTGTTGCCACAGGCTGATGAGAGGGCTGTGTTAAAGCATTTTAAGTGGCCAGAGAGAAAAGCAGATGCCATGAGAGAAGCTGCCTTTGAATACCGTGATCTCAAATTGTTAGAACATGAGATTTCTTCCTACAAGGATGACCCTAGCATTCCCTGTGGAGTTGCATTGAAGAAGATGGCTGGGTTACTGGACAAGTAAGAACAGTATGAGTTTGATCTTAATGATTATAAACTATGTTGATTTAAACAATAGTCTTGGCTTGGCTTATCATGCTGTCATCCATCTCACTGTGCAAGGTCTGAGCAGAGCACAAAGAGGCTAATTAAGCTCAGAAATTCAGTCATGCGTTCTTATCAGGATTGGAAAATTCCAGTTGATTGGATGCTCGATTCAGGAATCATGAGTAAGGTAATCTTTTCTGTATTTCTGTAATGATCTCTCGTTATTGTCTTGTACAGGAAGTCAAGAACACCATGAAAGATATATTTCCATCCCCATCACCTTCTGAACAATATTTGCCCATTTTAGAGTACAATTGCAGTTAGTGAAGAATATGTAATTTTGCAGATAAAGAAGGCTTCAATGAAACTGGCTACAATGTATATAAAGAGAGTGGCAATAGAGCTTGAATTTGCCCGCCGGTCAGATAGAGAATCTACTCAAGAAGCCCTGCTGCTTCAAGGCATGCATTTTGCATATAGGGCTCACCAGGTAGAACTCGAGTCATCTCTATTAGCTTCCTTTGTTACAAAATCAAGATTATATGAATTTTGGCTGTTTTAGTTCAATTATTCAATTATAAGACAAGCATCAACCACCTGATATTGCATTTGGTCTGTGAACTTATGTTTGCCTGCACTTGTTGTATATTGTTGTTCATTTTCCAAAATTGCAGAAACTTAAAATTCGAAACACAGAAACTTGCTTGCTCATATCTATCAACTTTTTTGTCATTGATCTTTGCCTGTCTATGCAGTTTGCCGGAGGTCTTGATTCAGAAACATTGTGTGCGTTTGAAGAGATCAGGCAGCGTGTCCCAAGTCACCTGTTAGGGTCCAAAGAATTGTTGGCTGGCATACCATTATCATGAAGCCAGTCTGTTAAATCTGGTTTAGGTTTTCCTTGAGAATTAGTGATGATCAACTTCTGTTGCTCATTTTGTCTCACTCCCAAATTTGTAATAGAATTTGTAAAAGATTGAGATTCAAGCAATATAAAGATAGCAAGAGTTCCAGAACTGGGGCACAAGGGTGAATAAGGTTCTTATCATTTTTTAACATTTATAAATGATTTCTATTTTATTTTTACCATCTCTTGGGGTGTACATTATAGTGTATATTCTTTTTCTCTTTTCATGTTATGCTCTATAATTTTAGTGTTTTACATGTTAAATTATATTGTATTATAAAATCTTAATTAAAGGGTTTTTTATTATCTCATAATTAATTTTTTATAATCTGGATTATAAATAATTTTTTGATACTTTATATTCCTTTGGGTTTTTTTTGTAAAGATTTTTTCTTTGGGTTGGTTAAAAATGTTTTTTATTACTATTATTTTTATTCTATGGTTTGATTACACACAGATAACCACACGATCCATCCTCCACAACAGGCATTCCAAAAGTCAACGCTTGAATGGTCAAATTTGATTGAATATTTGTTTATTTGATTTATTCACAAATAACGATGTTAATGTTTCACATGCATGATCATATAAGAGTTTTAGTTGTGATTTGAATTATTCTTA